ACACAACTGTTCACGTGATGTGGTAAAAGGCCAATCACAGCAGCCTTTTACCACGTGATCAGCCGTGTCCAATGACACAGCAGATCACCGGAAAATGCAGTTGTCGGTTATCAGCTGCACTTTCCTCACGCTGTCACAATTATCAGAGGACGGATCGGCACTGATCATCAGGGCACTGATGATCAGTGCCCAGCAGTGCCACCCACCAGGGCCGCCCATCTGTGCCCAACAGTGCCGCCCACAAGTGCCCAGCAGTGCCACCCACCTGTGCTCAGCAGTGCCACCCACCAGTGCCACCCATCATCAGTGTCATCAGTCAGTGCCACCCATCAGTGCTGCCTATCTGTGCCCATCATTGTTGCATATCAGTGCCAGCTCATCAGTGCCGCCTATGAGCACCACCTCATCAGTGCCGCCTATCGGTGCCCATCAGTGCTGCCTATCACTGCTGACTATCAGTGCTGCCACTCAGTGCCGCCTATCAGTGAAACCTCATCAATGCATCAGTGAAGGAGAAAAATTACCCGTTTGCAAAATTACATAATAGAAACAAAGAAAAAACATTTTTTTTTTAAATGTTTGCTCTTTTTTTGCTTATAGCGCAACAAATAAAACGCCCAGCGGGAGTACATGCCACCAAAAGAAAGCTCTATTTGTGTGAAAAAAATTATAAAAATTTCATATGGGTGTAGTGTTGTATGACCGCGCAATTGTCATTCAAAGAGCGACAGCACTGAAAGCTGAAAATTGGCCTGGGCAGGATGGGCGTATAAGTGCCCGGTAGGCAAGTGGTTAAATCTACCGTAGACATAATGAAGTACCTTCATTGTACCTTCCTCTGTATCCAATTTGTCTCAACAGAGCCTGGGAAGTAGGTGCCCTAGCCCTCTTTGCTGGAGAAAACTTGCAAAGCATAAAATGCTACGCATAACTATAACTATAGGTAAACCCCACAGTTATTTACTAACTTTAAGAAACACCAGTAAAAGTTTTTTGAAATGTTAGCATTCTGCCAGTATACTAGCCTCTTATCCTGTGCTTAGATGAATGGGCAGCATTGTTACCTAGCTTACTTTGCATTGCATGCAACAATCAAACAGCTAGAGTTTGCTGGTCAAAGGACAGAGCAGAGAAATGAACCGATCAGTATGCTGTGGCTCCTTCTATATCCAATTAGGTAAGGGCAGCCCTGGATTAGGTTGTATTTTCTGCAGTGGAGGAAAACAAGGTCAGGGACCAGACTAACGGGAGAGAATGTAGCATTTCAGGTGCATAAATGAGGTATTAAATTCCATATTTTCTTATGCTGCATTTTTTATTAAATTCATAATTATGATGTACTAAAACAATAAGAAAAAACTAAATATAATACAATGCAGGTTGCCCTGTGAGTAGTACTCAATCTCTTGAATTGTGACATACATGCAATATATTCAAGCTCCCGGTTATTTCAATAAATGCTTGTTGTAATTTTGTTTTAAAGTGAAGAAACAAGGTTGCAAGACATTACATTTATAATACATGTCTGAGCAATGTGGAAGGTATAAATAACATTTAACAAAAACATTCAGAGAAAGAAGTAGGAATTTTGTTCTTTTTTTCCTAGAAATCTTGTAGGTGGAATCAGTATCTCTAGAAAATCTATCACAGACCAAAAACAAGTCAAAATCTCTTGTTTACCATAACATTAAGGGTAGGAGCATAAAAACGGATTTTGGATTACAACATCCATAATACCTTTTGTATATATGCTTTGGAAATATACAAATATGTGGTGTAATTGGGAATATAAATAAGTGAACATTAAGAACACTTTCATGTGCTAAGATGCATGTATTCTCCTGAGTCATGAGTAATCAGTCATCTATATGGCAGAAGAAAAAAAGGCTAACATGTGCAGCTCAGGAAGAACCTTTGATCGCAACAGATATTTACAATAAATATGAGGTTTTTTTAAAAAAAATCATAGTTTTCTGTCAATGAGCTGTAAATACATTTTCCAGGTATATAAAACATGGAAAAAACAGCTCACGTCTGGATTATAGATATTATAGACCAATATATTTCTAGAATTACTGACAAGCATCTGTAAAACAATAACATACACTGTAACTGTATTTATTAGCAAATTCCATGAAGAATTCTTTGAGGGGCAGGCCAGTGAGGTAATTTTACTAAGCATGCATATGATTATAGGTCCTGTTTTTATTTAAAGCTGAAAATTACTTTAAAATTACAGTGGACCCTGCTTTCAGAGCCAAAGTGTGATCCCTTCTAGAACATTTTTCCTAAGGTTGATGTGAAGCATTTGTTCAGCCTAAATTTTTTAGATTTTGGTTTGGATACAGTGAGGAAGGATTAGAACCTTTGTTGAGTTTTTATTGTTATCTTGGGCTCCGATAGAGAGATTTCCCCCCACTTACCCTCATGATTATATAGTACTGCACTGTATATGGTACTGCTATTCTCTGAATACATCAAACAAAAACTCCTAAAAGCCACGTCTGCACAAATTTCTGCATCCCTAAAAAAGATCCCCATCCAGGTTACGTTTGTTTCCTGTGTTTTAACCTGCTTAGGGTTTGGAAGACTAATTCAAAACAGCTAAGGTAAGAAAAAGGCCATTTTGTTGGTAAAGAACAGGACAAATAATCTCACATATCCAATGCCATCAGCATCATAGATCATGCATAATGAATTTCTTTCTTCTCATCTGCCTGATTAGTATTATATTAAAATTAATGACAAGATTGTATGCAATATTATCTCTAAACACATTAACAGGCAGAAAAAAATATACCTGGAAAGTGCAGTAAATAGAAAATAAAATGTAATCAATATTTGGTGTGCCCATCCTTTGCCTTCAACACAGCAGCACAATTTGCAGTTTGTGAAGGTACTTATAGAGACACTTTAAAAAAAGGAATCTTCTATTATTAGTGGAAAAAAGTTCCCGGGAGGTTGACATTGCATTTCATTGAAATTGCATTGTGTGTAATTGTTAAATGTCATGGATAAACCTAAAACACATTTAAATCCCCACTCCCAAAATCACTGGTGGTGGTTAGTGGTATTTCAAACATCCCAAAACAATACCACAACCACTGGTAGTCAGTGGCATTTTCAACCTCCACCTGTCATGACTGATGGTCAGTGGTCCTTTACAGGAAGCACTGGTGTCTGAAAAAGATAGGGATACAGTGATAGGCAACTTGAATGTTCACAGAATCCAAGAAGTCTTTCCTATTGAGAATGACCAAATTAAAAAAAAAAAAATATTCAAAACTCTTGTGTATGCAAATAGGCACTTAGTGCATTAACATCTAAAATGAAATGATCTATCTTGGACATAGCAAAAAGATTTGAATATAAATTCCACAAGTGTTTAGAGGAAAGCATGGGGACTACCACTGCCAGGGAAACAAGCCCGTGAACCACCTAGTACAGAGCATGGACAAAGACAGAAACCCTATCTTGTATCCTGTTGATTCTACTCCTGTAGCCAAGCTCAAAAATGTAACGGAGCCAAGAGTCTGTAATCAATAGAAAGCATCCCCCCACCTTGTTGCCCACAGGTGGGGCAGACCTTGTTGGAGGACCTGGAGTTCTTGGACTGCCTAGGCCTGTATTGGGGCTAGTATATTTTAAAGCGGGAGGACCTGTATGCATCTCCATAGCTCAAAAAAGGTCATGATAGGATGAAAGGAAAGAGAAACTCTTCCACACGAAAGGCTTTCATTTAATAGTCTTGGGCAGATGGGTAATCTTCCCATTAGTTTTGTCCTAAATTATATTGTCCAGAAAAACCCTAAGCAGAACCACCCCTTAGAAGGAGGGCTGCCCTCTTAGATACCTGGTAGGACTCTTGTCCATTCAGCAATGGCCTGAAAAATACAAGCACAAAAATAAACTGACAGGGGGCATTGCCAACGGCAGAGAAAAATGATGAGTAATCTATAACAGGAATCACTGTCCCCTTGGTAAGGAGAGATACTGGCAGGTCCACTGAGGGAGGAGTTAACAACTTTTCAACTGATTTCTTCAGGAAAGGATAAAAGATGTACAACCAATTGGGGAAAATTATTAATGATTATGGAAGACATTAGCAGTGTTTCAGTCTTTGGAAGCCCAGAATAGTCACTGCAACAACTGTTACTGAAATAACTTTTCAGTCTCAGGGAACCCCTGCTAAAAATGACTATATCTACAACCCATTCTATATCAGTGTGATGGTCAGTGAGAAGAATGCTCCTTACACTCGTGGTCATTGGAAAGAATTAACCCCTTAGAGATAGCTAAAAAAGATCAACGGTGTCAGTGGGAACGTATCTGAGAGACATACAGTAGTTGCTCAAAGCTCAAGTAACCTCTAGCAACCTCAGGAGGAATCCCAGGGTTCCTTGGAACCCAGGTCGTGAAGTCCTTGCCTTGAGGCAAAAACTATACCCATTCATCACAGAATTGAGTTCCGTGTCTTCCATAATCACTGGGAGAAATGGACATTTGGAAAATGCAAGAAGACTTCCAAACAAAATGAGTGAGCTAGAACTTGACTAGGATTATCACTTAGCACAATAAAAGAAACCTGGTTAAGTATTAGTCGTGACTGAATAATTAACTAGTTGCCGACCGCAGATAGCCAAATGACGGCTGCACTGCGGCCGGCCAGTTCTGAGTGGACGTCATATGACGTCCTCCCAGAACGCGCTCTCCTGCACGCCCCAGGGGGCGCGCACCCGGCGATCTCCGTGATCGCTGTGTCCTACGGACACAGCTGATCACGTGATGTGGTAAAAGGCCAATCACAGCGGCCTTTTACCACGTGATCAGCGGTGTCCAATGACACGCTGATCACAGGGAAATGCAAGTGCCGGTTCTCGGCTGCACTTTCCTCATGCTGTCAGATCGTGAGGAAAGTACTGCCGAGAACCGGCAGTTGTCAGAGCGAGGATCGGCACCGATCATCAGGGCACTGATGATCAGTGCCCTGATGATCGGTGCCCAGCAGTGCCACCCGCAAGTTCCGCCCACCTGTGCCCAGCAGTGTGCCCACTAGCTCCGCCCACCTGTGCCCAGCAGATCACCCACCTGAGCCCAGCAGTGCACCCACCTGTGCCACTCTGCAGTGTCACACACCTGTGCCCAGAAGTGCCACCTACCTGTGCCCAGCAGTGCCCCCCACCTGTGCCCACCCACCTGGCCCACCAGTGCCACCCACCTGTGCCCACCCACCAGTGCTGCCCACCAGTGCAGCCCAGCAGTGCTGCCAGTCAGTGCCCAGGGGTTGTGCCAGTCAGTGCCGTCAGTCAGTGCCCAGCAGTGATGCCAGTCAGTGCCGTCTATCAGTACCCATCATCAGTGTCACCTATCAGTGCCGCCTATCAGTGCTGCATATTAGTGCCGCCTATCCGTGACACCTCATTAGTGCTGTCTATCAGTGCCGCCTATCCGTGCCACCTCATTAGTACTGCCTATCAGTGCCCTTTAGTGCTGCCTATCAGTGCCCATCAGTGCCGCCTATCAGTGCCCATCAGTGCTGCCTCATCAACGCACATCAGTGAAGGAGAAAAAATACCTGTTTGAAAAATTTTATAATAGAAACAAAGAAACTTTTTTTTTTTTTTTTTTTTTTGCAATTTTTTTATTTATAGCGCAAAAAGTAAAGCGCCCAGTGGCGATTAAATACCACCAAAAGAAAGCTCTATTTGTGAGAAAAAAATGATCAAAATTTCATATGGGTACAATGTTGCATGACCGCACAATTGTCAATCAAAGTGCGGCAGCGCTGAAAGCTGAAAATTGGCCTGGTAAATAAGGGGGTATAAGTGCCTGGTAGGCAAGTGGTTAATTTGGAAGCATATATTTTGTTTGGAAAGACAAGAAGGGGAGGGATTTTTATGTTTGTAAAATGTTGCTTCATTCAAGCTATGAATGAAGATATATGTGACAGAAACAAAAGTAGAGTATGTGCAGATGAAGGTCATAATTGTATTGTATTTATTGCTGAACTTTAGATGCTTCTACAAATCAAAAAGGCAGCAAGGAGAAACCCAGTTTATATTATGTTCAACTGTTCAGACATCATAGTTTCGTAATCAGGTTGAAATAAAGACACAAATCTATCTAGCTCAACCAATAAAAAAAAAACAAATAGAAAACCTCATCATTTGGGATATTGAAGTATGTGTTAGTAGTACATACAGTATATACTGTAATTCTGATATAACAGACAAAATTACTCTACACAAGTTGTAGCTGAATCAATTGGACTGGGAGGCTTGTCTAATTTAAGACATTTCAAATAAATCAGATTCCATATGCAGGTTGACAAATATGGCAACATCTGACTTGGAATTCAATAAAGTATTTGACAGGTGGGAGCAAAGTTTAAGCAGCAGTGAAAAGCACCTAGTCCTACAGGTTGGGAAGATGTATAGTTAGACACTTAAACCAAAGAGAAAGGTATTAAAAAGTCTTCAAAGATACTGTAGTGGGTGCATTCCCTATGAGAGGAACAGGAATCAAAGAAACCATGAAACTACCAAGAGACTAAAGCTGTGACCAAATTATCTCTGTTGCTCAGAGTTTTGTTCTGGCTCAAAACTTTAAGAACTTTGAGACACTAAACTTAACAGACATCAGCCTTTAATTTAAAGGATATTTCACCTTTTAAAAAAATAAAAATAAATGCACATCTTTTGCAGGTACAAAAATGTGCATTTATATTTTTTTCTTTTATCAGGAGCCCATAAAGCAATACACCCGTGATCAGCAGATCAGCAGATCACGAGAGCAATGCAAGGCTCCAGCAGACTGTCAGTGTAGCTGTGTGCCTGTCCCTCATATGGACAGGCAGTTACTGAATGACAAGAAGGATCAATGAACTACCTAGAGTGCTCACCAGTGCCCTGGTAGTTCACTGAGAACTACAAGCCATCAGCCACCTTGGCTGACAGTAGTTGTAGTTCTCACATGGTCACGCAGAGCCACGGCTTGGGAGTGCGCCTGCTTGGGTGCCCCAATAGCAAGCTGCTTGCTGTAGGAGCAGCCGACAGGAGAGAGGAGCCAGGAGTGGCAACGGGGACCCAAGAAGAGGAGGATCAGGCCTGCTCTGTGCAAAACCACTGCACAGAGCAGGTAAGTATAACATGTTTGTTATTTAAAAAAAAAAAAGACTTTATTATCACTTTAAGGAAGGACTAGAATGTTTCAGAATTTAAATTGCCTGCACAATATGGAATGAATGAATGGTGCTTTCAGAAAATAATCACTATATCAGAATTAGAATTTAAATTCATTATACAATTTCCTACAGAGTAAAAACAATTAGCAATTAATAACCACATATTTGTGGAAAAATCTAAACAAATCAGGTTTGTTTCAAAGGATTCAAAGACAGAAAGTCAATTTAATAAAAAGGGCAGCAAACTGGAAAAGTACACATTGCTTTGTTCGGAAATGTAATCCTGTATGTAGGAAAATTATAAGTGACAGCAAGCCAAATATCATGAACTCAGACAAAAGGGGCAGGAATAAAATTACACTATTATTTGCCAATTTGCTGTAATCAATGTGTACCAAAACAAATCAATAAAACAGGGACTCTATTTTTATATCAATTACACATTATCAAAACCCAGAACATACAGAGACCAGCTTTCACAGGGAACAATGCAATAAAAATATGAGAAAAACCAAGGATTTGGTAAACCAGAGCTCTATTTTGCTAGTTAAATATATAAAGGCAGCAGTCCTACAAGGGCACAGGAGTTTGTTTTTTAAATGATCAGTGCATGAATATGTATGTTTACCCAACATGCAAGTTCACACTGTGGGCATAAAATGTTTTCATACCATGCCAACACACTCAAAGGAGGAAGGACAATCTCTTGATTATTGTGCATTAAAAATGTTCTGAATAATGAATATTATGACTGTACAGTCCTACTGACCAGGGGCGGACTGACCATTTGGAAACTCGTACACTGCCCAAGGGCTCCGGGTCAGTAGGGGGCCCAATGAGATGTCATAGGCTTTTTTGAGTTTGGGCAAGGACACAGGGGCCCCATGATCCCCTATTGCCCGGGGGCCCCATGACTTGTCAGTCCGCCCCTGTTACTGACTGTTGCAAAAAAGAATCTTTACAGCCAGCAAAAAATACATTTAAATCTGCTTACAGTTAATAAAAATTTCTAAGTCATCCACTGTTTGGCCTCATGCACACTGGACGTTTGGCTATCTCTCGTACACACCTTTCCTCCTGGCAGCAGCATTTTGGCAGAATGAAAAACTTGATATTTGTAAAAAATATCTAACGCTTTTAGGCACATTTAGGTATGTCACGCGCTTATTGAATTGTATTAACACTCAAGTGCTAAATGTTCCGAGCATTAACCCACATTTACATGCAATTAGTCGCCTTAAAGTGTCACTAAACCCATGACCCCGTATTCACTATATCTGGTCTCCTGTTGTACACAGAACATGCAATCATTTTAGTAAATATAAACTGCTAAATAAACAAATATTTGTATGATCACACTCAAAATCTCAAGTGTTAAACTATCTAAAACAAGAAAAAGTGTTAAAATAATACCATATAAAATGTATCAACAAAATATTCACTTTCAAAATATCGTACAACTCACAATGTGTCCATAATAATTATTATTATTATTAAATCAAAAAAACAAAAGTATTTAATGTCCACCATCAGGTGCATTATGTGCAAAAAAAAAGAAATATATAGTGAAATAAATTTGTACAAAAAAATCACTTTGCATAAAAGTGTGAAGTCAAAGCACCCAGTGTCCTTCACCACCATTTTATAAGGTATTATTTTAACACTTTTTCTTGTTTTAGAAAACGGTTTAACACTTTAGATTTTGAGCGCAGTCATACACATATTTGTTTCTTTGCACACTCCACAGCAGGGGTGGACTGACAACTCATGGGGCCCCCGGGCAATAGGAAATCATGGGGCCCCTGTGTCCTTGCCCAAACTCAAAAAAGCCAGGGGAATCTCATGGGGCCCCCACTGACCCCGGGCCCTCGGGCAGTCCCGAGTTTTCCAACTGGTCAGTCCGCCCCTGCTCCACAGTGAGTTTAGTGACTGCAGTTGCATAATTATTTATTACATCTTTCGTGCTGAGCTTTTCACATTTATAAACTGCTAAATACCTTTTCACATCAGCAGCTAGAGCAGTCTTGTGCAGAACACTGGTTAAAGCTTGTAGGAGGAGTTTCCCCTGATCGTCCTATGAGGCTGCATAACCCCTGACCTCTGTCTGGACAGCACTGTGCCAATCACATGCACCCTCCCAAAAAAAAAAACCTCTCCATCTATACACACCAAACTGAGCATGTGCAGCTTGCACCCAAGGCACTGTACTATCAGCAGATGGATTGGGGACAGAAAAAAAGGGGAGGATCACAGAAGACAGGATCAAACATCCTTTTTACACAATGCAAAGGAATAAACCCTTAGGTTCCACACTGAGTATAACAAGCATATACAGACTGATTTTACTGTTGTGGGTCTAGTAACACTTAAGTGTTTTTTCAAAATGCTGCTGCTCCTGGATATGTTGACAGTGGGAGTTTTTTTCTGCCTAAACGCCTCTAAACACCTATGTTTGCATGGACACATAGGCTAACATGCCGGTCTTTATAGACAAAAAAAAAGGCCAGATACTCCTAACACAGCAGCATTTAAAACATCCAATACGCATGAGGCCTTTCAGACATTTGTGACAACAGGATTCCTGTAAACCTCATCCTTATGCCTAAAGCAAGGCAATTTTTTAAAATGGAGTGTCAAGGAGACAGGAAGGAATCAGAAGTTGTACTAAAAGGTGCACAATAAATGAGAGTACAATTTCACAATGGGGCATTTACAAAATAAACAACTCACAGCATATCTAATCTTTCCCCTCTATGTCCAAAGCCAAACCAAGTTTTTGCTAGTCCATTCATCTCCTCTTTTTTTCACATTTTCAATGAATGTTGGCATGTTAAATGTCTTAAAACAAATGTAAATACAGAGGAAATCCAAGTATAGATATTGTATACGTAGTTACATTGATCTAGCTTGGACCACTGTAACAATGTACACTCACCGGCCACTTTATTAGGTACACCTTGCTAGGGACAAGAAATTATCCCCATACCATTACACCACCACCACCAGCCTGAACCGATGATACAAGGCAGGATGGATCCATGCTTTCATCTTGTTTACACAAAATTCTGACCCTACCATCTGAATGTCGCAGCAACCAGTCTGTCCATTCTCCTCTGACCCCAGACATCAACAAGGCATTTTAGTCTAAACAACTGCCGCTCACGGGGTATTT